CATTTTCTTGATCCATTTATCCACTGAAGGTTATCTGGGTTACTTCCATATCTTGGCTATGGTAAATAATGCTGCAATGAACATGGTTGTCTAGTGGCTTTTACTGGGGTGAGGTGGAATCTCCATGTTGTTTTGATTTGCATTTTTTTTATGGCCAGGGATGTTGAACATGTGTCTATTGGCCATTCTTTTTTTGTTTTGTTTTGTTTTTCTTGGTTATGAGGCTTGAACTATGGGCCTGGGTGCTGTCCCTCAGTTCTTCAGCTCAAGGCCAGTGCTCTACCAGTTGAGTTACAGTGCCACTTCAGGTTTTCGAGTGGTTTATTGGAGATAAGAGTCTCACAGACTTTCCTGCCTGGGCTGGCTTTGAACCATGATCCACAGATCTCAGCCTCTTGAGTAGCTAGGATTACAGGTGTGAGCCGTTGGCGCCCGGCTGGAGAAGCCACTCTTTATGTCTCTCGCCCATTTATTAATTGGCTTGTTGTTTCTTGTGATGATTTGTTTTGAGGAAGTTTTAATTTTTATTTATTTATTTTATTTTATTTTTTTGGTGGTCATGGGACTTGAACTCTGGACCTGGGCACTGTCCCTGAGCTCTTCTTCAGCTCAAAACAAACTATCACTTGAGCCACAGTGCCACTTATGGTTTTCTGGTGGTTAATTGGAGATAAGAGTCTCATGGACTTTCCTGTCTGGGCTGGATTTGAACTGCGATCCTCAGATCTTAGCCTCCTGAGTAGCTAGGATTACAGGCATGAGCTACTGGTGCCCAGCAAGTTTAATTTTTTTGAGCTTTGAGTATATTTTAGCTATGAGGCCCTTGTCTGATCTGATACAAAGCTAGTAACGATCTCCCATTCTGTAGGCCTATGTCCTTTGTCATGCAGAAACTCTTCTGTTCCATACAGTTCCATTTATCTAGTCTTTCTTTGATGTGTTGTGATTCTGGGATCTTTGGAAATTTTGATATGCGCCAAGGAGCTCTAGTGTTTCCCTATCCCTTCCTGTAATATTGTCAGGGTATCTGTTCTTTTCATTGACATCTTTGATCCATTTGGAACTGATTCTGGTGTAGGGTGATATATAAGGATCTCACTTCAGTTTTCTGCATGTCTGTAGCCAATTCAGCCAGCACCATTTGTTGAAGAGGCCATCTTCCATCCTTTGTTATTGGCTTTCTTATCAAATACTAGGTGGCTATATGTCTGTGGGTTCATTTCTGGGTCTTCTATTCCATTGGTCTTGTATCAGTACCAAGCTGTTTTTATTAGTCACCAATTGATTTGTCTTGACAAAAATTAACTATAAGAAATTCTGGGAACAAGGAATGGTAGCTCTATAACTAACATGCTTGTAATTTAGAAGGTGATCCTGGTACTCAGGAGCTACAATCAGGAAGATCTCAAGTTTGAGGTCAGCCTGGGATATATGTTGAGATTCTGTCTTGAAAACGTATATATTAGGGGCTAGGAAGCTGGCTCAGTGGTAGAGTGCTTGCCTTGCACGCATGGGGCCCTGGGCTCGATTCCTCAGCACCACATAAGCAGAATAAAGCTGAAGTGGTGGTGTGGCTCAAGTGGTAGAGTTCAGCCCCCACAACCAGGGAGTGCATGGCAGAACAGTGCAGTTCACATCACTCCTGCCAGGAAAACAGAACAAAGACACGAAGGGGCTAAGGTAAAATATGTCCTTCAAACACCCCTTCCTCTCCCCCATTACAATCTGCTTTCTACAACTTGGCCCTGCCTACCATGGTTTCCCACTACTTCCTAATAGTCTATTTAGGTTTTTTTGTTTGTTTGTTTGTTTTTGGGGGTCCGGTAGTGGGGCCTGAACTCTGGGCTTGGGCGCTGTCCCTCAGCTCTTCAGCTCAAGGCTCTACCACTTGAGCCACAGCGCCACTTCCAGCTTTTTTCTTTTTGCTGATGTGGTACTGAGGAATCAAACCCAGGGCCTCAGGCATGCAAGGCAAGCGCTCTACCACTGAGCCACCTTCCCAGCCCCTCTATTTAGGTTTTTAATGGATTAAGTCACTAAGTCAAATCCTTTATGATCTAGTTGTCTCTGGAAACATGCTCACAGACACATATGGGTGGGTGCTGGGTTCAATTCCTTAGCACCACATAAGCAGAAAAAGCTGGAAGTGGCGCTGTGGCTCAAGTGATAGAACGCTAGCCTTGAGCTGAAGAGCTGAGGGACAGCGCCCAGGCCCAGAGTTCAGGCCCCATGACTAACCAGAAAAAAAAAAGAAAGAAATTGGATAATGTATATCCTCCTTTCTTTTCAATTGCATTGACCATTCTAATTCCTCTGAATTCCCATATAAACATTAAGATTAAGCTGGGTGTCAGAGGCTTATGCCTATAGTCCTAGCTACTCAGGAGGCTGAGATCTGAGGATCACAAATTGAAGCCATCACAGACAGAAAAATAAAACTCAGAACAAGCCAAAAGGGGTGCTGTGACTCAAGTGGTAGAACACTAACCTTGAAAAGCTCAGGGACAGTGCCCAGGCCCTGAGTTCAAGCCCCAGGACCAGAAAAAGAAAAGGTTGGCTAATCAATTTAATTTATTCTACAACAAAATTATTCTGGAATTTTGGTAATGAATGCAAACCAGTTTGTGGAGAATTCCCATCTTGACAACAATAAGTGTTACTACATAAACAGGTGTCTTTCTATTTATTTAGATTCTCCTTTATTTTATACTTTCAGTGTCTCAAGCTCTACATACCCTTCAATAAATTTATTCCGAAGTTTGTATTCCTTGATTTTTGCCATGAATGGGTTTATTTTCTTAATTTTAATTTGTTTACTGCTAGTGTAAAAATATATACTTGATTTTGTATATTAATCTTGTATTTTGAAAATTCTGAACTTGGTTAATTTTAGGAGTGTTTTTGTATTCCTTTACTTGTATTACTTGCCCCATCTCCTTATTGAATTAGTTAGAACCTCTAGTACAATGAAGAAGAGCATGGACATCTCTTTTCTCTTTCTAACTTACAGGAGAAAGCATTTATTTTTCACCATTAAGATAATAATTCTTGCGATTTTGATTTTTGAGGGTTTTTTTGTTGTTATTTTGTAGAGATGCTGTTAATTTGTTGAGCATTTTTACTGTGATGGTGTAAGATTTTGTCAGATGCTTTTCTGCATCCATGGAGATACCTATGTAATAGTATTTATTAATAAGAGGGGTTGAGCTGGGCACTGGTGGCTCATACCTGTAATCCTAGCTACTCAGGAGGCTGAGATCTGAGGATCGTGGTTCAAAGCCAGCTAGGCAGGAAAGTCTATGAGACTCTTATCTCCAGTAAACCAAGAAAACTGGAAGTGGCACTGTGACTCAAGTGGTAGAGCTCTAGCCTTGAGCTGAAGAGCTCAGGCCCAGAGTTCAAGTCCCACAACCAACAAAAAAACATAAGAATTTGGAGCCCAGGCTCAGTTGGTAGAGTTCCAGCCAGTGAGTGTCAGGTACCAAGTTCAAATGCTGGTTTTGGCACTTGAAAGCTAATACATTAGTTGATTCTGGCATGCTACATTAACTGTACATTCTTAGGGTAAATCTTGCTTTATTTCTCATTGGCTTGGTAGAAGTCTGACATTGGGCATTTTACTTTGGTTGGTGCTAAGTATTTTGGTAGTACTCTAAATCTAATTGAGTTTTATTTGTATGTGGTTGAGTTACTTGAATACAGCTTGGCCCTTTCAAGACTCACTTTTTTTTTTTTTTGGCCAGTCCTGGAGCTTGAACTCAGGTCTGGGCACTGTGTTTGAACTTTTATTCTGCAACATTCAGCTAACATTCAGCACCATTTTCGGCTTTTTTTATTTTACTGAGGAATCAAAGGCAGGGCTTCAGAATGCATGTGAGGCAAGCCCTCTGCCACTAAGCCACATTCCCAACCCCACAGGACTCACTTTTATGATTTGTTAGGTGAGTCTGTTGCAGTGCTTAGTCTGGGATAATTGCTTCCCACTTAAGAGACAAAACATTCCTGAATGTTCTGTGCACTGTAAACTACTGGTTTTCAGTACATTTGTTGAAACAGGTACCCTGTCCCAGTGAGAACCAAAAGTTTCCTATAATTCATTCAAGTAGCTCCCTTCCAGGTTGTGAGGAGTTTCTTGCATAATACTTTGGGGGAGGGAGGGGAGAAATCCTCTGCATACCTCCCAGGGCTCTGTGTATTCTTTCCCACAACTTCTATCTGCCATCTTTATAGCTAGAAGGAATGCTCTGAGCACTTCCTTCTTTTTCCTAAATCTGTGCTGTGGTCTCAGTATGTAATAAGGCTCACCTTTGTTTCTTGAATCTAAGAATCCTTTTTTTTGGTCGGTTGTAGAGCATGAACTCAGGGCCTGGGCACTGTCCCTGAGCCTCCATGTGCTCAAGGCTAGCGCTTTACCACTTGAACCACAATGCCACTTCCTTTTTTTTTTTTTTAGTTAATTGGAGACAAAAGTCTCAGGAACTGTGATCCTCAGCTCTCAGCTTCCTGAGTAGCTAGTATTACAGGCATGAGCCACTGGTGCCCTTCTATTGTTTTTTTCTTTTTTTGTCGGTCATGGGGCTTGAGCCTGAGCGCCATCCCTCAGCTCTTCGGGTCAAGGCGAGGGCTCTACCACTTGAGCCACTTCTGGTTTTCTGGTGGTTTATCGGAGATAAGAGTTTCACGGACTTTCCTGCCCGGGCTGGCTTTGAACCGCGATCCTCAGATCTCAGCCTCCTGAATAGCTAGGATTACAGTAGTGAGCCCTGGCGCCTGGCTATTGTTTTCTTTTGTAACTTGATACTTTCAATAGTTTCTTTTCCCTCTTAGTTTATTTCAGGGGGAAATAACCTTTGATTCATTGCTGGAAGGATTTTGAAAGCAGAATGAAGCTAGTTCAACAAAACTTTCATGCTTACTTTCCAACAGCGATTTTTGTTAGTATTTTAAATTCCTTTCATGATAAATTTCTTCTCTAAGTAAGTTTTCTATTACCTTTATAGCTTGCCTCTGAGTATTGATTTGCTCAATAGTCCAGACTTGTTAAAAACAACTGTTGGTGATATAGTTGGGGCATCAGATACTGTGGAAACAACCCCAGCACTGGATGATATTAACAAAGCCTCCAGACCAACTGGATTAGAGGAACCTGAAATGGAGTGTGAAAGTAAGTAAATGTTCTGTAATATGTCAGTGGCACTTTTTTTTATCTCCTTTTGAAATTAAATATTTAAATCACTTCCTCCAAGAATATTTTAGTGAATAGTCAGGTTTTTAATTTTTTCAGAATAGTAAATTAGTTAATCAAGTTAGTTAATAAATTAGTTTAGAACAATTATGCCTTCCTAACACTTTTTTATATTTAGGAGAACTTTGGAAAAATTTTAAAGTAATGCATTAACAGTATTACCTATGAGTTATTATTTATACACTTATGAACATTCATTCTTGGGTTTTACATGCTCCTTGAGTACAAAATAAGAGTTAGTGCCGGGCGCTGGTGGCTCACGCCTGTAATCCTAGCTACTCAGGAGGCCGAGATCTGAGGATCGCGGTTCAAAGCCAGCCCGGGCAGGAAAGACCATGAGACTCCTATCTCCAATAAAACCACCAGAAAACCGGAAGTGGCGCTGTAGCTCAAGTGGTAGAGCGCTCGCCTTGAGCTGAAGAGCTGAGGAACAGCACCCAGGCCCAGAGTTCAAGCCCCACTACTGACCAAAAAAAAAAAAAAGAGTTAGTAAAAACTTCCTTGGGCTGGGAAGTTGGCTCAGTGGTAGAGCGCTTGCCTTGAATGCCTGAGGCCCTGGGTTCGATTCCCCAGCACCACATAAGCAAAAAGGAAAAAAGCCGGAAGTGGCGCTGTGGCTCAAGTGGTAGAGAGCTAGCCTTGAGCTGAAGAGCTGAGGGACAGCGCCCAGGCCCAGAGTTCAGGCCGACGACTGGACCCAGAAAAAAACAAAACAAGAAAAAACTTCCTTAAAAATTTCCTTGAGAGGGCTGGAAAGGTAGCTCAGTGGTAGAGTGCTTGCCTTGCATGCATGAGGCCCTGGGTTCGATTCCTCAGCACCACATAAGAAAAAAGAAAAAAGCCGGAAATGGCGCTGTGGCTCATAGTGGTAGAGCGCTAGCTTGGAGCTGAAGAGCTGAGGGACAGCGCCCAGGCCCAGAGTTCAGGCCCCACGACTGGACCCAAAAAAAAGATTTTCTTGAGAGCACAGAAGGTTTGAATATTCCATTAGTTCATTATTGGTGAAGATTATTGTTGGCCAGTTCCACAAAAAATGTACTGCTTTTCTTAAGTTTTTTCAAACTTAAAAGGTGAAAGTGATTTGCCTATTAAAAAATGTCTGTGGAGGTTGGGGATGTAGTTTAGTGGTAGAGTGCTGGCCTAGCATGGGCGTGATTCCTTAGTACCACATAAACAGATAAGGCCAGAAGTGGTGCTGTGGCCCAAGTGATAGAGTGCTAGCAAAAGAATCTCAGGGACAGTGCCCTGGCCCTGAGTTCAAGCTCCAGAACTGGCCAAAAAAAGAAGTCTGTTGTTGAGAGTTTGGCTTAAACAGTTTCCTAATATTGCACAGTATAATAGCACTTAATAAATCAAAAATAAGAAGTTCAATGAACAGTTACAAAAATGATTCTGGCTAAGAGAACATGCTGAAGTACTACTAGTAAGGAAGTTAACTTTTTTTTTCTGTTGTTCCCTAGGTAGCCACTACAAATGCCTAGCTAAATAAATGATTGCTGTTTCATTAACCTCTACTGTAATTAAATTGTATTTGTTAAATTGTATTTGTAATGTCTGAGATCAGGGTCACAAAAATAAAATTTCACTTGATATGTTAAAATTTTTAAAATAATATGATTGGATTTTTTAAGATAGTAGATTGCAGGCTGGGAAGGTGGCTCAGTGGTAGAGTGCTAGCCTTGAGCTGAAGAGCTAAAGGACAGTGCCCAGGCCCGGAGTTCAGGCCCCACAACCGACAAAAAAAAAAAGTATAATTCTGCCAGTGGCTCAAGCCTTATAATCCTAGCTTCTCAAGAGATTACGATCTGAGGATCACAATTCAAAGCCAGCCTGGGCAGGAAAGTCTTTAGATTACTTTTTTTTTTTTGGGGGGGGGTCCGGTTGTGGGGCCTGAACTCTGTCCCTCAGCTCTTCAGCTCAAGGCTAGCAATCTACCACTTGAGCCACAGCACCACTTCCGGCTTTTTTCTTTTTGCTTATGTGATGCTGAGGAATCGAACCCAGGGCCACAGGCATGCAAGGCAAGCGCTTTACCACTGAGCCAACTTCCCAGCCCCTGTAAAACTACTTTTATCTCCAATTAACCAGCAAAAAGCCAGAAGTAGAACAGTGGCTTAAGTGCTAGTCTTGAGCAAATAAGCTAAGGGAGAGGTGGGAATGTGGCTTAGTGATAGAGTGCTTGCCTAGCATTCATGAAGCCCTGGGTTTCATTCCTCAGTACCACATAAACAGAAAAAGTGGGAAATGGCACTGTAGAGTGCTAGCCTTGAGCACACAGAGGCTCAGGATTCAAGCCCCAGGGATTAGAATAAAACAAAACAAAAGCTAAGGGACAGGTCTTGGTCCTGAGTTCAAACGCCAATACTGGAACACACACACACACACACACACACACACACACACACACACACGTAATTCCTTCAGTGCTATGATCACACACACACGTAATTCCTTCAGTGCTATGATAATTCTTTCAGTGTTGTATTAAACATTTATTGAGTACAAAATTGTTAACAAATAAAATTAGATTAGGACAACATGGAATAAACCAGAGATGCCTTTTTTAAAAAGCATGAGATCTGATAATGGTACAAACTCTTTGAAGTCGGCTATAGCAAAGAATTTTTTTATGATATATGCCAGTACTGGGGTTTGACTGTTTACTGTCATTTAGCTTTTTCATTCTAGCTGGTGCTCTACCACTCCAGCTACATCTCCTGTATGGTTTTTTGGTGGTTAATTGGAGATAAAAGTCTCAGACTTTCCTGCCCAGGCTGGCTTTGATGCTCAGATCTTTGCTTCCTGAGTAGCTAGAATTATAGGCATGAGCCACTAGTGCCTTGCTTGCAAAGAATTTATTTTATGCTGGTCTATTGGTGAATCTTTTTTTTTTTTTTTGTCAGTCCTGGGGCTTGAACTCTGGGCCTGGGTGCTGTCCCTGAGCTCTTTAGCTCAAGGTGAGTTCTTTACCACTTGAACCACAGCGTCACTTCTAGTTTTCTGGTGGTTAATTGGAGATAAGAGTCTCATGGACTTTTCTGCCCCAGCTGGCTTTGAACCATGATCCTCAGATCTCAGCCTCCTGAGTAACTAGGATTATAGGTATGAGCCACTGGTGCCCGGCTATTGTTGAATCTCATAAATGAACATTTTTCATATTTTGTATCAGCATAGGGAAGAATTTTCTGCCATATATTAGAGATAAATATCTAAGAGTTAGTAAACTCCTTATAATAGAAAATACTCAAGCGGAGCTTAAATGCTGTTGAGGTTATTGCCAGAGAAATTCTTCCATACTGTAGGAGTTTCATTAATGTAACTTAGTTCAACTTGATTACATTTTGTTAAGGTCAATCAGTGAGAAATAGATTTTTCTCCCCTTCAGTACTGAGACTTGACCTCAGGGCCTAGCACTTCTTAGCTTTTTTTTTGTTCACAGCTAGCACTCTACCACTTGAACCACATCTCTAAATTGTGCTTTTCTCTGGTTAATTGGAGATAAAAGAGTATCTTGGAAAAATAAATAAAATGTCAATTTAGCCGGGCGCTGGTGGCTCACGCCTGTAATCCTAGCTACTCAGGAGGCAGAGATCTGAGGATCGCAGTTCAAAGCCAGCCCCGGCAGGAGAGACCGCAGGAGAGACCGTGAGACTCCTATCTCCAATAAACCACCAGAAAACCGGAAGTGGTAGAGCGCTCGCCTTGAGCTGAAGAGCTGAAGGACAGCACCCAGTCCCAGAGTTCAAGCCCCACGACCGACAAAAAATAAATAAATAAATAAATAAGTAAAATGTCAATTTACAAAATGAGTGTCTTGGATTTGTCTGCCTGGGGAAGATTTGAATCTCAGTCTTCAGATTTTTACCTCCTGAATAGCTAGGAATATAGGCATGAGCTTATATTAATTAGAGCACTTAAGGCATTAATTATGGCTTAATTAGATCGTTTTTATGTTAAGAGTGAGATCTTTTTGGTCTTGATATCTAGTTTATTATACATTTTGTTGTGATTTACATAGGTAGGTAAAAATAATCCCTTTTTTTAAATCACCTTATCTTCCATCTCAGGAGGTTTCTCAGTCCTATGGAAGTAGCAGCAGCTTCATTTTAACCAAAAACTATTAACAACCAGCATAAACTAAAATGTGTGTGATAACAGCTTTGTATGAAATTCACTGTAAGATAATTTGAAGCATAACAAAACCAGAGATAGGAATACATCAAGGCTTGGAATGTGGCTTAGTGGTAGAGTGCTTTCCTATCATGCATGAAGGCTTGGGTTCCATTCCTCAGTACCCATAAACAGAAAAAGCCAGAGATGGTGCTGTGGCTCAGATGGTAGAGTACTAGCCTTAAGCAAAAGAAGCTTGGACAGTGCCCAAGTCCTTACTTCAAGCTGCATGACCGAAAATAAAGAAAGAATACATAAATGATACCATTTGGGAATACCAGCATTAAATTAATGACTCTGTTTTGAACAGTAAAACCTGAAGAGTTTTAGTTTCATGACAGGAATCTTATCTCCAGTTATTCTGATATGATTTTTCAAGAGTAAGCCTTGGGAATCAGAATTTCTCAAGGGTATCCATTTGATTCTGATGTCCAACCAGGGAGACAATTCACTACATTTTATTAATGATCATTTTTAGAAGATCCTTTTGACCCAGTCATGATTTCATAGTTCGTTCGTTTGTTCTTTCTTTCTTTCTTTCTTTCTTTCTTTCTTTCTTTCTTTCTTTCTTTCTTTTTCTTTTCTTTTTTGCCAGTCCTGGGGCTTGAACTCAGGGCCTGGGCACTGTCCCTGAACTTCCTTTTGCTCAAGGCTAGCACTCTACCACTTGAGCCACAGTGCCATTTTTGGCTTTTTCTGTTCAGATGGTATTGAGGAATTGAACCTGGGGTTTCATGGATACTAGGTACTACCACTAAGCCATATTCCCAGCCCTTCCTTCTTTCTTCTACCTGATTATATAAAAATTATTAGGTATTGAATAGATTTATTTGTTAATTGACTGGGTAAGAATTCAAAGTCAGACCAAATTAATCTCTGAGGAGTAAGATTGGGCTGGTGCTGGTAGCCATACCTGCAATCGTAGCTACTCAGAAGGCTGAGATCTGAGGATTGTGGTTTGAAGCCAGCCAGGGCAAAAAAGTCCTGTAAGACTCTTATCTCTAAGTAACCATTCATAAAACAGGAAGTAGAGCTGTGGCTTAAAGTGGTAAAGTGCTAGCCTTAAGCAAAAGAGCTCAGGGATAGCATCCAGGCCCTGAGTTCAAGTCCCATGGCCAACAAAAAAAAAAGATTAATTCAGGACAGTTAACTTAAATATGTTTAATTTAAACGTGAATTGTACTTAACACATAATCATTTTAGTAATTAGAAGACTTTATTTGTAGTGTATTTTAGACTTTTTGAAGACAAGATGCCTGATCTGCATCATACCTGATAGTACTATAGAAGTTAATAACTGAGTAAATAGTTGCCTTTTCATCAGTTTCTCCAAAATGAGTTTAATTTTAAGCAATGTATAGTCAAGATCAGGGCTACAGATAACCGAGTACTAAGGTTAGACATGAGTTTGAGTTGACGTTAAAGAAAAGACATTTAACAACTGTTCTCTGTAAGTCTCTTGGCTGATAAACCCTAAGCGCATGTACTATTGAGAATTGGTAGGTAGTTGTTGTTTTAATAGCAGTTCAGACACAGAACAGTGATCCTACTTAGGATTAACTTTTTTTTTTTTTCCTGGTCATGGGGCCTAAACTCTGGGCCTGGGTACTATCCCTCAGCTCTTTAGCTCAAGGCTAGCTCTCTACCACTTGAGCCACAGTGCCACTTCCCAGCTTTTTCTGCTTATGTGGTACTGAGGAATTGAACCTAGGGCCTCATGCATGCAAGGCAAGCACTCTACCACTGAGCCACCTTCCCATCCTGGAGGATTAACTTTTAATCAAGTTATTGGAAAGGAATATATTGGAACATATATGAAAAGAAATGTAAAATATATATTGGTTATGGGAAAATGTGTACTTCTTTTGTCTTCATCTGAATTATTACTTTAGCTGATGGTAATTGGTGTTGTGGAAAAACAAAACTCATATCTGTATCCTATTATAGCTGCTGTAACAACTTGCCTTTTTTCTTCCCACTAGCATTGAAAGATGCCACAGAGAAACTCAAACAGATTGAGGTGGAGAATAATTCTCTGTCATCCCCACCATCAAACATTGATGTTAACATCAACAGTCAGGTATTCAGATCACTCATCTACTTATACATGTTCAGACCTCCCAGAAATATTTCCTTTACTAAGATAATACTATTTCTTCCTTTGGTGGAAAATCTGTTCTGAGTGCTTATAAACCTGTTTTCTCATTTGAAAAGATGAAGTGTGTGGGTACTTAAAGGGGAAGGAGGAAACCTGTACAACAGCATTAATCATGTTTTTTTTTAAAAAAAAAAAAAACAAAGTCAAAAGTGTTACCTCTGTTAAACCTTTATGTTGATTTACCCTATCTAGTTGAAGGACTATTAAATTTTTTGGTTATTATAAAGGTGATATGCAAAGGGTTTACAGTTACATAAGTCAGGTAAAAAGTATATTTCTTTTTGGATAGTCTCACCCCTTCCCTTGCTGTCTCCCAGTTTTTCCTTCCAACAAGTTGTATAGTTCATTAAAAAATTATTGTTATTATAAAGGTTATGTACACAGGAGTTACATAAGTCAGGTAAAGAGTATATTTCTTTTGGGGCAGTGTTATCCCTTCCCTCGCTCTCTCCCAGTTTTTCCCTCTACCCATAAGTTGTATGGTTCATATTCAGCACACTGTCTTGTCTAGTGAGTACTACTGCTGCATTTGTTCACTCTTTGTCCTTCCATTTCTGAGACTCATGACACATCAGACCTACAATACTCACATTGATTTAGTCATCTGGGATTTTTTATTTTAATAGACTACAAATTTGTAAAAAGATAAAAATCATGTGGAGCTCACAGATGAGTGACAAGTTCTTGGCTTCAATCTGTCACCAAACCCAAAAAAGTTTTGCAGAATGGCTATCTCCAATGACCTCTTTTTTTTTTTTCTTTTGGTCGGTCATGGGGCTTGAACTCTGGGCCTGGGCGCTGTCCCTCAGCTCTTCAGCTCAAGGCGAGTGCTCTACCACTTGAGCCACAGCACCACTTTCAGCTTTTTCTGCTTATGTGGTGCTCAAGAATCAAACCCAGGGCCTCATGCATGCGAAGCAAGCACTCTACCACTAAGGCACCTTCCCAGCCCTCCAATGACCTCTTCCCATCCTAGATCTCTTAAGTTAATGAGGCTTTCAAATAATTATATCCCTGCATACCTAGGATTGCAAGCATGAGCCACTGGTACCTAGCTCCAGTTTCTATCTTTAAGCAACAAAATAACTGACTCTATCACTTACGATAAATGCCTGAATTAAACCACATATGGAGAATGTGTGACATTGGCTCTAATTTACTCCATCTGGATTTTAGTTCAACCTAAATTATATGATTCTGGAGCTGTTAGCAGGTAGATGATTATAGTAGCTGATTATGTCCTGAGTAGGAAATAGCTGCTTAAGACATATGATTTCTTGCTTGTCTGATTATTTCACTTTTATCATTCCTTCCCTGCTTTTTTTTTTTTTGTCTTTTTTTTGTCGGTCATGGGGCTTGAACTCTGGGCCTGGACGCTGTCCCTCAGCTCTTCAGCTCATGGCGTGCACTCTACCACTTGAGTCACAGCACCACTTCCAGTTTTCTAGTGGTTTATTGGAGATAAGAGTCTCACAGACTTTCCTTCCTGGACTAATTTTTTTTTAATTTTTTTTTTTGGGCGGGGTTCGGGTTGTGGGTCCTGAACTCTGGGCCTGCGCGCTGTCCCTTAGCTCTTCAGGTCAAGGCTAGCGTGCTACCACTTGAGCCATCACACCACTTCCAGCTTTTTTTTTTCTTTTTCTTTTTGCTTATGTGGTACTGAGGAATCAAATCCAGGGCCTCATGCATGCAAGGCAAACATTCTACCACTGAGCCACCTTCCCAGCCCCTTCCTGGACTAGTTTTGAACTGTGATCCTCAGATCTCAGCCTCCTGAATAGCTAAGATTATAGGTGTGGGCCACCGGCACCCAGTGTCCTTCCCTGCTTTTAATAACTATGGTCTATGGAGGTTAATAAAGTATGTTTTTAATATTTAGGAAGAAGTGGTGAAGTTGACTGAGAAATGTCTCAATAATGCCATTGAGAGCCCAGGACCAAATGCCATAAGGTTTCCTACTGACTTCAAGAGTAACATTTTAAAGGCTCAAGTAGAATCTGTGCAGAAGGTAAGCTGCCTTTAATAGATATAATCCTGGTGATATGAAAAGTAAAATCCCATTTTTATTCTACTTACCAATTTCATGACTTGATATATGAGTCTATGCCTCAGTTTTGTTAATGCTTAAAATAAAATAAATTAAATAATAAATAATGCTAATAACTACCTTAAGGATGTTGTGAGGATGAAATAAGAAAGGTAAAGGAGTATCTAAACCATAATTTACCAAGTGTTATCTAGGTGCCACTGGCTTAGTCCTGTAATCAGCAGGCTGAGATCTACAGATTGAGAGCCAGCCTAGGTAGACAAATCCTAGAGATTCTTATCTCCAATAACCAGTGAGAAGCTAAAAGTGGATGTGTGGCTCACATGGAAAAGCACCAACATTAAAAAAGATAAACAAGAGTACAAGGCCTTGAGTTCAAGTCCCAGAACTGCTACAAAAAGAAAACAATATAGATAAAGTATTGATGTCAGTAGTAATGGTCAAAGTAATCATAAAGCTGTGTTCTCACTTATTATGATATGAGTGTTTTTAGCGCTCTTAGAAAAAGCCCTGAGTTTGTTTGCCCCTTGTACTCCGTGAGAAAGCCACAAGAAGATACCATGTATTAGTTCTTCACCAGAATTAAATCTTGTAGTATCTTGATCTTGGTCTTGTCAATCTCCAGAACTGTGTGACTTAAACATTTTTATACTTGTAGACTTCCTGGGTTTTTTGTTTTTATTGTTTTCCATAGTAGTTGCCTTGCATTTTAGTTGTATTTTTTGGACTTTTCTTAACTTGAAGAAAGAATTTCAGCCAAGCACCAGTGGCTCACGCCTGTAATCTTAGCTACTAAAGAGGCTGAGATCTGAGGATCATGATTCAAAACCAGTCTGGGCAGGAAAGTCCATGGGACTCTTATCTCCAATAAACCACCAAAAAACCGGAAGTGGCGCTGTGGTTCAAGTGGTAAAGCACTAGTCTTGAGCTGAAGAGCTAAGGGACAGTGCCCAGGCCCAGAGTTCAAGCCCCACAACAAGCAAAACAAAAAACAGAAAAACTCTCCAGATTAATTCTCCTCTTAAACATAGATGTAAAAGTTTGTAATAAAATATCAAATCATACTAAAGCAATTTAAAAGTAGGATCTTACATTACAGCAATACAGTGTCTCTCTCAGGAAAAAAAATTGATTTATCATTCCATCTTCAGGATATTTAAAATACATAAAAATTATCTCAATTCATAAAGAAAAGACATTTCCCCAAATTCAACAGCTGTGCATGTTAAAAAAAAAAAAACCCTCATCAAAGTAGGAGTAGAGGGCTGGGAAGGTGGCTCAGTGGTAGAGTGCTTGCCTTGCATGCCTAAGGCCCTGGGTTCAATTCCTCAGCACCACATAACAAAAAAGGTGGAAGTGGCGCTGTGGCTTAAGTGGTAGAGCGCTAGCCTTGAGCTGAAGAGCTGAGGGACAGCACCCAGGCCCAGAGTTTAAGCCCCATGACCAACACACATACACACAAAGTACGTGATTCTAGTTCATATGAAACTAGAAAATATATATCATAGGTTGCCACAGTTGATTTTGATGGAATTAAGTGAGATGCTTCAAGGGAATATTTTGGAGCAAAGTGGTAGTAGAAATGTTGGTTATGGAGGAAATATAATAGTTATGCACCTGTAAATATTTTTCAGAATTCACTAATCTTACATTTAAAATCGATGCATTTTACTATATATAAACAATGTGTCAATAAAGTTGAGGCAAAACTGAACTCTTCAGTTTTTGTCTATTTCCCTCTTAAAATTTAGGAAAAAATAAAAACCAAATGTATATTGTATCACTTAAATATGAAAAACATTTTGGCATTGAATATTTGTGATTTTGTATATAATGTCACATGCTATGGGATGTGGATGTTCAGCAACTGAAAGCCCAAGAGTAAAAACATGAATTTTTTTTTTGAATTAATAGGTCCTTTTTTTAAAATTTATTTATTTATTTTTTATTTGTGAACATACTGTACAGAGGGGTTACAATTACATGAGCAGGATAATGCGTACATTTCTTACCAAGCATTGCAGCCTCCTCCTTTGGTTTACCATTCACATCCCTTCCCAGCCTCCCCCCTCCCCCCCAAAACATGAATATTTATAGTCAAACATGTTGAAGTTATTTTGGATTGCTAATTTGGCTATGAGATAGATTTGCATTAGATGCAGTACTGTTATATTGTAATTACCTCTTACTTGAACTGAAGCAATAGGTACTTCTGTTTTTACTGGAAAGAAATGTAAATTTCTTGATTTTTTTTATGATTCCATTTTCTTAGGTTACAAGAGAAGATAGCTTAAGTCATAAAAATGCCAGTGTTCAGGATACTACCACAATCAGGTACAATTCTGAATTGAATTGATTTTCTTATTTGTTTCCACTATCTTTTCTTTTTACTTTCCCTCATTCAGAACACATAGTTTGAAAGGTAGCTTATATTCACTCTTTTCTGTCCATTAGAGAGCCACTGAGTATTTGAAGATTATTTGAAGGTATTCTCACATTTTCATTTGTTTTCACTTGTTTCAAAGAATAGAGCAAAGTCCTCTGTAAAGATTTTTTACCTTGTCATGCTTGATAAGAAATGCATTCTGTTTTCTTCTGAGGGTCCTGGTTAATTTCAGTGTCATCTTGACATCACAATGAACTGTTCTTAAAATCTTGCCAAGCCTAGACTCTCACATTAACTGAGTGAATTTCTTTGCTACTTCTTCCAACTCTCAATCATCTTTTCAATTTGTCTTGTTAGGCTTTTATTCCTTGTTCTGTACTAATTTCTTTAGTTCATCATTGTGTATTCAGTGATCTTTTCTTTAACCTGTATTCTTTATTTTTTCTTCATATAATTTCAGATTAATAGATAAAATCCTTTATCACAGCCTGAAGGATCCTCTTTAGCATTTACGTAAAGCATATCTACTTATAATAAGCTTCCTTTGCCAGTGGCTCATGCCTGTAATCCTACCTACTCAGGTGGCTGAGATCTGAGGATCATGGTTCAGAGCCAGCCTAGGCAGGAAAGTCCTTGAGACTCTTATTTATCTCCAGTAAACCACTAGAAAACCGTGAGACTCTTATCTCCAGTAAACTACTAGAAAACCAGAAGTGGCACTGTGGCTCAAGTGGTAGAGCGCTCGCCTTGAGCTGAAGAGCACAGGGACAGCCCCTAAGCCCAGAATTCAAGCCCCATGACTGACAAAAAAAAATAATAATAACAATAAGCTTCCTTTGCTTTTGTTTGTTTGAAAATCTTTATTGCTGAGCCAGTGGTTCAAGCCTGTAATCCTAGATACTAAGGAGCCTGAGATCTGAGGATTGCAGTTCAGAATGAGCACTGGGCAGGAAAATCTGTGAGACTCTTATCTCCATTAACCAGAAAACTGGAAGTGGCGCTGTAGTTCAAGTGGTAAGTACTAGTCTTGAGCTGAAGAGCTGAGGGGCAGTGCCCAGGCCCAGAATTCAAGACCCACAACCAACAAAAAAAAGAAAAAGAATAAAAAAAGAGAATGTCTTTATTTCCCTCATTTTCAAAAGTAGATTTGCTGAATATATAATTCTTAGTTGATATGTGTCATCCAGTGCTATTTTTTCATGGTTTCTATTGAGACATTGGCAGTTAATCTTATTAGGATCTTTATATAATAAGTCTTACTACTTTCAAAATTCTCTTCTTGGAAGTGGCAATGTAGCTCAAGAAGTTGAGCAGAGGGGCTGGGAAGGTGGCTCAGTGGTAGAGCGCTTGCCTTGCATGCCTGAGGCCCTGGGTTCGATTCCTTAGCACAACATAAGCCGAAAGTGGCACTGTGGCTCAAGTGGTAGAATGCTAGCCTTGAGCTGAAGAGCTGAGGAACAGTGCCCAGGCCCAGAGTTCAGGCCCCACGACCGGACCCAAAAAAAAAAAAAAGAAGTTGAGCAGAAAAAGTCAAACAAGAGCACCAGGCCCTGAGTTCAAGCCTCAATTCCAGCACCAAAAAAAGTCTCTTCCTTGTTTTCATCTTTGTTGTTGTTGTTGTGTGGAGCTTGAACTCGGCCTGGGAGCTGTCCCTTAGCTCTTCAGGCTCAAGGCTAGTGCTCTATCTACCACTTGAGCCAGAGCACCACTCACTTCCTGGTTTTCTGGTGGTTTATTAGAGATAGTGTTAGGGACTTTCCTACCCAGATTGGCTTTGAACTGCGATCCTCAGATCTCAGCCTCCTGAGTAGCTAGGATTATAGCCATGAACCACTGGCACCAGCTTGTTTTCATCTTTAGACAGTACAAATAACACAAATTCTCTGGATCCTGAGTTCATTCTATGGAGTTTATCAACCTTCTTAAATATCTTTTCATTCAAATTGTTGTGTTTTTATCTGTTGTTTTTTGAACTAGTCTTCTCCTCCTCCCTTTCATCCTAGACTGTGCAAGTAATGATATATTGGTGTTTGGATTCCACAAGTTCCTTGGGCTCAGTTGTTTTCATTATTGTCTTGTTGTTTCTAACACCAGATATCTCAATTGGCTACTCGGTTTTTTTTTGGTTTTTTTGGGGGTCCGGTCATGGGGCCTGAACTCTGGTCTGGGCGCTGTCCCTCAGCTCTTCAGCTCAAGGCTAGTGCTCTACCATTTGAGCCATAGTGCCACTTCCAGCTTTTTTCTTTTTGCTTATGTGGTGCTGAGGAATCGAACCCAGGGCCTCATGTATGCACGGCAAGCACTTTACCACTGAGCCACCTTCCCAGCCAATGCCACTCGGATTTTTTTAAGTCAACAAATATGTATTACGTGCCAATTATATGCCAGGAATTATTGTAAGTAGGATTTCAGCAGGATATAAAATAGACAAAAGTTTTCTCTTTGGTGTTTACACTCTCATGGAGAGAAAACAGCAAAATATGTATGTCAGTATGTCAAATAATAGCCTGTGCCTGGGATGTGGCTTAGTGGTAGAGTGTTTGTCTAGCATGCATGAAGCCCTGGGTTCAATTCCTTAGTACCACATAAACAGAAAAAGCCGGAAGTGGTCCTGTGGTTCAGAGTGGTAGAGAGCTAGCCTTGAGCACAAAAGCTCAGGGACACTGCCCAGGTTCTGAGTTCAAGCCCCATGACCTGTGGGGATGGGGGAAAAGGGGAGAATACTACTGTCCAGTATTGCTCCAGCAATAGAAGTGTTCTTGTTTTGTGTGGGTGTGGGTAAAAGTCATAGGGCTTGAACCCTGGGCCTGGGTTCGGTCCCTCAGCTCTTCAGCTCAAGGCTAGCACTTGAGCCACAGCACCACTTTTGGTTTTTTCTATTTATGTGGTACTGAGCAATCAAACCCAGAGCCTCATGCATGTGAGGCAAGCGCTGTACTAGCCACTGAGCCACCTTCCCAGCCCCTGGAAAGTTCTTTATGTGTGCTGTCTGGTACTGCAAGTTCTAATCACAAGAAGCTCCTGAGTGCTTGACATAGGGCTAATACAACTGAGGTTTGAAGTTTTAATTTTACAGATTTTTTTTCACCAGAGCTGAGGACCAAACTTAGGACCTTACACTTGCCAGGCAAGTGCTCTTCCATTGAGCTAAATCCCCAACTCCTGAAGTTTTAATTTTCTGTATTGAAATAGCAGCATGTATTTAATATTTACTGTGTTCAATAGTGCAAGGATTAAGGTAAACCAGTTAGAGGGCTCATGTCCATGTCTGCAACACAATATAGTCTGTCAGTCTTCATTAATATTTTTGCCCATTAATTTAACAAGGTTAGTCAGCACTTAGCACGATTCAAGTTCTATCTTAGGTATTTTTTATTTGCCACTTAATAGAGCAGTTTATAAATAGTGCACCTTGAGCAGTGTCATCCCTTTCAGCATTCTCACTCATCTCCTAGCCCCTTCCCTCATTTTCTTAATTTTGTAGGGTATATATTGAATTCTTGACTGTATTCTCCCCCTCTTCTCCTCTTCATTCCTACACCTCTGCTCTTGACCTAAATCTGCTGTGAATATCCTCTAGTAAATTTTTCTTTTAAAAAATGTGAGCCAGAAGTGGTGCTGTGGCTCAAGTGGTAGAGCACTAGCCTTGAGCTGAAGAGCTCAGGGACAGTTCCCAGGCCCAGAGTTCAAGCCCCACAACTGACATACATACATACGTACATACATACATACATAGAAAAAAAGCCTGGCGACAGTGGCTCATGCCTGTAATTCTAGCCATTCATGAGGCTGAGATATGAGGATTGCAGTTTAAAGCCAGCCCAGGCAGGAAAGTCTGTAAGACTCTTACCTCCAGTTAAGCACCAAAAAAAAAAAAGCAAAGTGGAGCTGTGGTTCAAGTGGTATAGCGCAGACCTTGAGTAAAAAAGCTCAGGGACAGCACCCAAAGCCCAAGTTCCAGCTCTAGGACTGACACACACAGTTGTAAGGTATGCTTTCAGCTCTGAAATTTTTAATATAATTATATTTGTTGTCTCATTCTTTTGCTGGTCTCCTTTAGTTCTTTGTAATTTAGTTTTGTGAGAGTTTTTTGTTTGTTTGTTTTGTTTTCCCACGGTCATGGGGCTTGAACTCTGGGCCTGGGCATTGTCCCTCAGCACTTCAGCTCAAAGCCAGCACTCTACTACTTGAGCCACAGCATCACTTCTGGTTTTCTTGTGGTTAGGATTACAAGCATGAGCCTCAGCGCCCAGCTTGTGAGTTTTGAGACAGTTCATGTGAAGTATTTATCTAATAAGTCCAATGTCTATGCTTTCCTGAGGCATAGTTTCTTCTCATTTCTTATTTTCCTTGTGATAAGCTATGCTACCTATGAGAATTTTTCTTGAAGGGTTGGGAAAAATCATTGTAAAACATATTTCACTACTTTTTTTTTTTTTATGGTGCCAGGACTGGAGCTTAAACTTAGGGCCTGGCTGCTCTTCCTTAGCTTCTTTGCTAAGTGGAGCTTTGGCTCAAGTGGTAGAGTGCCACTTGAGCCAAAGCTTCACTTTTGGCCTTTTTGCTAGTGAGTTAGAAATAAGAATTTTATTTGCTTTTTCTGCCCCAGCTGGCTTCTTCTTCTTTTTTTTGGGGGGGGGCTTGAACTCTGGGTCTGAGCTCTGTCCCTCAGCAATTCAGCTCAAGGCTAGTGCTCTACCACTTGAGCTACAGCACCACTTCTGGTTTTCTGGTGGTTTATTGGAGATAAGAGTCTCATGGCCCTTCCCACCTGGGCTGGCTTTGAACTGTGATCCAACAATTCTCAGTCTCCTGAGTAGCTAGGATTATAGTTGTGAGCCACCAGCAACCTGCTCAGGCTGGCTTCAAATCACAATCCTTAGATCTCAGCCTTCTGAGTAGCTAGGATTATAGGCATAAGCCACCAGCACTGAGCTGCACATTCTTTTATTTTCCACCTCTGTCTCTGTTTTCTTTAGTGTTGTAGATACAATAGAATTGGCTTCCACTCATTAATCTGGTCCAAGTTTTTGCAGTCCTCAATTTATCTCTCATTTTTCTCCATCCTGTGGTTTTATTAGGACTGCTGGTGCTTGAACACTTTAGTGATGCTGGTGAAGGCTGAGGTTTCCTGCTGTTTATGATGTCTTGGTGGATAATAGCCTTTTGTCTATGGTCTTCCTCTTTCTTCCCTGGTGTTGAAACCATTTTAGGATTGCTCTTGTTCTCATTATTTCTATGTGGAGATAAGACACCCTGCTATAGATATGTTGCAGCATTCTCTCACTTTGGCAGTGAGAGGTGCAGTAGCTGGAGCACCATGGATGTTATTGCCTCTTCCTTCTACAGCGGAGCTCTCCAGTCCAGGTTCTCAGACAGTGGCTTCCTCTGGTGTTTCCTGACTCTTCTCTAAAGTTTTGGGTATTCTATAAAATTGTGATCTACTGAACATTCCCATTTATATCATCTATAATAGCTTTTTAAAAAAAATCTCTTGTGACTGGCATAGCTTTTTATAAACAGCCTTGATCTGTAACTATTTTGCCTGCCTTTCCATCCTTTATATAGTTTCTCTAAATTTGAAGAAACATTGAAGCTGTTGTTAACCTTGAAAACATTCTCTTCTTCTGTGTGTCTTTTAGGACTTTCTAAAGATTGCTGAACTACCACTGGCAATCTTTAGTAGTTTTTAGATATTATGGGTTTTTTTCATTTTAGTGATATTTTTGGAGGGAAGCAAGGTAGTCTGCTGTTCCAATCAGTGGCAAGTGAGTCTGAGCTATATGTAAAAGGTGTTTTGCAGGGGTGGGGATAGGTTTCACACAGGTATACAGTGTGGCACTGATGGTTGAGTACTCCTCTCCTGTTATCATTTGTTCTTCCCCTACATGAATTCTTTATTCTTTTCTAAAGTTTTGTTCGACAGTGTTATTTTTCCTGTACAGGTCCTCTATAATCTGAATTAATCTCTTTCTTTTTAGTGCTGTATTAAATGAGAATAATGTGCCCCTCTGCCAAGATTCTCATGCTGTGCTACATACCACAGCTGCAGACAATGGTTCTATTCTAAAGGTAAGAATTCTTAAGTTTTTCTAAAGACAATATGCAGTTGAATATAACTAGGAATGTTTGGTGATTTCTGCTTAGCATTAGGACATAAACTATGAGAAATCCATTGAGCCTCAGTTCTCTAGGGATCATCCTGTTATCAGATTCTCCATAAGAGCTACTCAGCCAGGTACTGGTGTCTCACATCTGTAATCCTAGCTACTCAGGAGGCTGAGATCTTAGGATCACAGTTCATAGCCAGCTTGGGCAGAAAAGTACTTTAGACTCTTAGCTCTAATTAACTGCCAAAAAACTGGAAATGGAGCTGTAGCTCAAGTGGTAGAGTGCAACAATGCTCAGGAACATCACCCATACCCTCAGTTCAAGCCCTGGGACCAGCACACACAAAAAAAGTTACTCAGGCTGGGCACCGGTGGCTCATACCTATAATCCTAGCTACTCAGGAGGCTGAGATCTGAGGATCATGATTCAAAGGCAGCCTGGGCAAGAAAGTCCATGAAATGCTTATCTCCAATAAACGGCTAAAAAACCAGAAGTGGCACTGTGGCTCAAGTGATAAAATGCTTGCCTTGAGCTGAAGAGCT